TATCTTATAAACTACATTGTTAACTGACACGTCAGCAGTTTATCTTATAAACTATATTGTCAACTGACACGTCAGCAGTGTATCTTATAAACTACACTGTTAACTGACACGTCAGCAGTGTATCTTATAAACTGCACTGTCAACTGACACGTCAGCAGTGTATCTTATAAACTACACTGTTAACTGACACGTCAGCAGTTTATCTTATAAACTACACTGTTAACTGATACGTCAGCAGTTTATCTTATGAACTGCATTGTCAGCTGGCACGTTAGCAGTGTATCTTATGAACTAAATTGTCTCTATACAAGACAGTGGTGTATTTAATGAACTATATTGTCATCATACAAGTCGGCGGTGCATCTAATAAACTTCATTGTCATTTGATTAGGCAGCAGTGTGTCTAATGAAGTACATTTTCATCAGACAAGTAAGCAGTATTTCTAATAATTTAAATTGTCATTCAACAAGTCAGCAGTATATTTAATTATTGCATTGTCATCTTACAAGGCAGCAGTGTATCTCATGAACTACTGTGTCATCTATGCATTTAATGGACTACCATGTTATAAAGTTAAAACAAAAATGTATTTTAATCTGTCTGACAATATAAGTGGAAAGCGATACGGATTTATTAGAACGACATCATAACGAGAGGACAAAAGAGTATACTAAGGTGGCAGAACTTCTTTGGAATTGTTTATTTGTACTTGGCAGTACTTTTGTTTCTAAGGTCTCCGATGTTTGCCGTTACCTTGATAGACAAAGTGACATCTTTTGGGTAGTGTCATGGTTCAAAATGTACATATATTTAGTTTACTCATCGGAGACCTAGGAAACAAAGGAACTGCCTAGTATAAATATATATATTGTAAACGGTATGGCTTTAACAATTAGTTACTAGTTATTTAGTTTCTCTTTATTTAGTTTGACATTAACCACCACATCTCTAAGTGTTGACATTCATAGAATTAAAGGGTTTTATGCATCTCTCCTTCTATCTACCAGTAGTTTAGACCTAATTGGATTTCCAACCTTTTTGCCCTTATCATTGCCGAAGAGTCATAACGAGATGTATCGTGCAGTGTTAATTAATGTTTGGCATACTGTATCTTTTTTCAAATGTTTAATGGTGCAAACATCTAGGTGCGTGTGTTTAACGCTCATCTTCCTTTTATGTTTTCTCGTATATGAAAACCTCCCATTCCTATCCTCTATGTATGTCCCGGCGGTGAACGCTTGCTCGGAAATATTTAGAATCAAAAACATTTTTCGCGGTAACTAGACCCAATTAATTAATACACGTACATATAGCACCTCATATTTTTATCCATTATTGACCGGAAACAAAGTGTTTACAAATTATCGAGAGATTTGCAAATTGGAGACGTGTTTGGTTAATGATTTAGGGTTCCAACATCTAATTGTGCAATTAACCATACAAATACGCTTAAGTTATCCAGTTTCGATGCATTTTAATGTTTCTATTACCGTATGTAGTTTTGATATTAGTAATGTGAATATATTGATGTACCGTATGTAGTTTTGATATTAGTCACGTGAATATATTGATGTACCGTATGTAGTTTTGATATTAGTAACGTGAATATATTGATGTACCGTATGTAGTTTTGATATTTATAACGTGAATATATTGATGTACCGTATGTATTTTTGTTACTTGTAACGTGAATATATTGATGTACCGTATGTAGTTTTGATATTAGTAACGTGAATATATTGATGTACCGTATGTAGTTTTGATATTTGTAACGTGAATATATTGATGTACCGTATGTAGTTTTGAGATTAGTAACGTGAATATATTGATCTACCGTATGTAGTTTTGATATTAGTTACGTGAATATATTGATGTACCGTTTGTAGTTTTGATATTGGTAACGTTATATTATCTTGTGTACTACTATATAAAGATTTGATTTTTTTTAACGTTACAGCATACTCTTAGACATTTGGTATCTGAAAAAGAAACGATTTCACATTATGTGTATAAGTGTTTATTTGAATGTACATGTGTACATGGATGCCGAGAACAAATAAAAAACAACGAAAGTACTTCGAGGGCGTTCACATTTTTTATGTAGCTAAATTAATAATAATGTAAACAATATCATGAAATTACGTACATTTCTCCATTTCTAGAACAAACCGCACCTTAAGCAGGATATACAATTCATATTATGCTGTATATCTTTGATCAGTTAAATTAATAAACACAAAATAGTAAAAGAAACGTAATCTTATTTAAATAATAATAAATTAGTTTTATACCCATACCTATACTGATCTAAACAATGGTTTATGTACATCTGATATTCCTCTTGTATCTCAAATACAAAAATATTGGTGATAACCACGTTCATACCAACGATGCCAACACATAACCATTATTGGTATATAAAATAAATGAGTCTGTTATCATATAAAGTTCAAACAAAAAGACAATGTTGTTTATCACAATGTGGCTTTGTGGCAGTTCAATTCAGGTATAGTAATGAATTGGAGAATTTTACACACAATAATAAAATAAAACTTTGTACACAAACGAGAGGGATAGTAAGCATAATTAATGTACATCTTGCTGATCATTTCCTAAAGCACAGGAACAAGTGAATTCATTGTCAGAAATGATCTGTAGACTTTTCACTGGCTAGGTGGTTTATTAACACACGTTCGACAACTCCTGAATGTTTGTCAATTCCTAAAATATTTTCGATGAATCCATTTCCATCTTTTCGAATCTTGATATTTCTGTTGACGACCGCACCACAACCATTATTGTTGATGATATTAAATAAGTCCCATAATTCATTGTGAAAGACTATGCCTTGCTCACAAGTAGCTCCCGTAGACTGATATGATTGGCAGCTTGACTCCTCGCGGATCCCGTGTCTGCTTCATGCAGACATTATGTACCAATCACTGTACCGCGTTGTAGTTCGACCCATTTAAAGCGCATCAAAAAGAAAAGGTATGAAAATATTTCAGAATTATGTCTGTGTAGCCTCGAGACCATTTTCAAAGAGAAACGCCAGCAACATCGACTCTCAAGAATTTATCATCCGAACTCTAGTCCTGAAAATAATACAAAAAAATATTTTGTTAGTCCATGTCACACTACAGAGTCAAAATGGAGTCTATGAAGTCCCGTAAACGTACTAATTAGTGTGGAATCTTACTTAAGCAGCCGTTGCTATGGTAGCCGTCAAACAAGTGTATCTACACTTTCTAAAACATAGCTAAATTTGAAATATAAAGTCAACATTGTATATAGAAAATTTCGTTGCGTTACATCAGTGCTTAAATATCCAAATTTGTAATTAAACTGGGGCACTTTGACTTTATTTCCCGTAGTAAGTGCGAGATATGCTGATACAAGATTAACACTTCATTAGGTATGTTTACTGTATACATGTATATTCTACTGAAACTAAGATAAGGTTTGCTACTATTATAGAAAAAAATACATACTAGTTATATTACACGTACGATCTTTTCTCGATTAATTCTTGAAGTTTCTCTTTTTAACCAATGAAATATTCAAATTCAAATTTACACTGAAAACATAACAGCTTACACAATAAAATGATTAACATTTGTTTTCATTTTCTTATATTTTGCAATATTTAATAGGACTATATTTCTTATTCTACTGTCTCATACAAAATAGGACAATTCACGGAATGACGAAAAAGAAGAAAAGTAGTTCATACTTACGGTTTTAACACGCTAGGATAGTATAGAACGAAAACAACAACTATTCATGCAGGACAACGACGAATCATTCACCAATGTCGGAGAAACATTATCAAAACATCGAAATCTACGAAAATCTAAATAAACTTGTTTCTAGGAATCTATAATTCCAAATTAGCAATAATGTTAAGAATATTAGGTGCATCATTACATTGTGTATATATAGATAGAGAATGTTAGACAAAGCGTTATTTTAGTAGTAGTTGCTACGACATCAAGTGAATGATAACTACTGCGTTATGTACATTGTATAAACGTAACACAGCACGAGCATATCTATATATAGCTGACAAACATGGAAGGCTACTAACACTAATCTACGGTGCATAGAGGATGGTACTGCAGGAGAGAAGTGTTTCGAGTTAAGGAAAAAAATAAAACAAATCCGCGCCAATACCCGGCAACACCAGAGGTGGTGGACAGATGCTGCGGGTTATCTTCGGCTGCTATCCCTGGAGTTAGGGACGTAACTACGGTCAAGTTGGTCGTGCATGGAAAGTGTGGATAAATTGTAATGGGATTCAGTTGTCATACTTAGTGGTAAACGGATCTGTAGTTATTTTAGAGCACGCAAGATTTTAGTTTTTGCATAGGTATTCATGTTGTTGAAACTCCATTTCTGTATGAAAAGAAGATTATGTCTTGCCAGTATTTCTAATGGAAATAAATTTATTTTTGCTATATTTGATATCAAAGTAAGTCAAAAAAGAATATATTCGAATTAGTCATACTTCTATTTGATGCATTCCTTTTGCAAATCGAAAAGGATTTTAGGGCATTTTGAATTTAGGATGATCTTATCTAAGTAAATGCATACCGACTTTGATGAAAAATAAAATTAATAAACATTTTCTCCAGACAGCGATCAGAAATGAAGTCATCATCAACAAAAGGTGTATGCATAAGGTTGTGGCATCGACGCAGATTAAAAGACAGCTTCGGAGAGTTGGATTGTGAGTATATTGAGGACGACGTCATCATATGCATCATCCGGTTTATAGGTAAAAAGTGACGTTCACACCATACTGTTACCCGTGTAGATTATTAGGAGTATGGATATACACTGCTAGAGTAGGCTCTTACACGATGCATAGTAATGTATCTAGTACTTGTTCCCTTCATTGTAATGGTTTTTTTAGTAAGTATACTGAAAATTGCTTAAATCTCGCTGTGAACCACGTATTCGCGAGAATTACAGTTCCCGAAGTATACAACAGTATGGAAGGTACTATTCGTGGGATGCTTGACTTCAGTATTGTCGATCTTCTCAAATTAACATGAAAATATTTATCTGGCGAAAGAAAAGCGATTAACAGTATACGTTGAATATCATAACTTTTCTTGTGGATAGTTAATATCTTAATTTTTTAAATTATAATATTATTAATTAAATATCAGCATTAGTTAACTTATTCAATTTGTAAATTTCAATATATAATAAATATATTTCATGTATTGGAAACATGTGATCCAATTATAAAATATATGTATTTTGTGTAGAGTATTAGAAGGGAACAAACACGGATATCTACTCTAGATCCTGTGGTATTATCCATACCTACCCTCCCATTTGTACCTAAGATTGACCTCCAGTTGTACTAAAGGACTGAGGCAGCCCTCTTGTTCTTGCGAATCACGCTTCGTACACGTCTACGTACGTCAGACATTGGGGGAAATTCGCTGTCATCTCGATGATACTGGATGGCAGGGTTAAAACTCTGATATTGTAAGAAAGTTCGAAAATATACAATAAATTTTATATTATCAATTCATGAAATGATACAGACCTATACTTTACCGAATTGCATATTGATATTTTGTATTTTTGTAGATTACTTTATTGATATTATATTTCATCACATTTCGATGTACCCGGGTAACCTTAACATAGACAAGAAGGGGTTCATAATAGAAGGAAAGGGGAACCAGTATTTACACGGTAGAGTGGTGAAGAAAGGTTCGGAGGAAGAGGGACTCACATCTAATTACACCCAAATCACAGGGAGAGGGACACGAAGTGCATACGGTAGATTTTGGTCTTAGATCTTACAATACACGTTCCCCTCTGATGCGCGCATTTTCGGATTATCAGAGGTCATCAAGGTCAATCTCAACCATAGTTAGCTACATTGGTCAGATGTAAAAAAAAATGTATAAGAATTCAGGATACATTTAAAAAAAAATACAATGCTGCTTTTAAAAGCTCTGTGAGGTAGATATGTATATGTGACATCATGATTTAATACCCACACATTTATTATATTAGTGACGCTATATATTTTGATAACTATATGTTAGTGATGTCATTTCTTGACATCCGATCAATCAACAGGATATTTTGGGACTAGGAAGGAATTTTGGGATAATGAGAAACAATCTATTGCAGATGATATACGAAAGCACTTGATACATTCTGTCCATGTTTGCCATTTTATGCGTGTTTTGAGACAATGTATACCTGAAATGACTTCTTATCAATTGACCGAAGGGTGACATTGCTGTTTATCACATGTATCGCAGATGCCATACATATAAAACAGGTACACTTACGCCACACGCGCGACATCTGGTGACAAATATACACACATCACAGTACATACATCCTTATCCCTGTCCTGAAACTATAACGGGGACCCAACACATGCATGGCACAATTCTCATTAACATAGACTGTAATTGAGCAATGCTGCGTTTCATTGTTTTCATATATCTAGTTTTCTTGCAGTTAACTATGTTTATATACAGTGTATACGCAAATAACAAAAATAAAGCGGTGTATTAAAAAGCTTTCAATACCAGATATTATATTCAGATGTTAGAATCGAAAATATCTATTTAACGTTAAACCATTAGAAATATTACGTTGCATAAATAGAAATCAATTAATTTAATAATGTCCAGATAAATTCAATAATGTCTTCGTTTGTTTTCTTTTTTTAATTGAAAAATTACAAGAAAAAAATCTTCACACAGCCAAGTGATATTTTATCCGTTGCCAAACAACTCTGTAACTTGGATTATTCGATCTTTATTGTGATGTAGATTGGTTGATGTATCCAATTTAATCACTCTGTGCATGTTTTGTGTCGTAAACTATGATCTGGTTTTCAAAATATATTATCGAACGAAAACTGCTTGGACTAAATGGCCGAACAGATTATTATGTGTAACAGGAGTTTGATACAAATAAAAACTGATTCGCATTGAAAAAAATCGTTACAACAGATAGTGAGATTCTCGTTAAAATAAAATTTGTCCCTGAGGCGGCGACGAAGCAGCACTATGGTTATGACGACATCTGCACAAGAAGCAAGCACTTACGACAGGCGGCGGACGTACAGAAGTTGCTCGTACCGAAGTAGAAATTTCCCTATGTTCAGTTGATGACGACGTAACGCTTTCTCCAGTTGCCCTGAAAAGACTTTAGGTCAGAAAAAGACAAAGAGAATGGTTCGTTAGTACAGAGCAACACAGCAAACAGTGGCATTCAGTGGCAACCAGAGATCTTCCTTTTGTGTCACAATGGCGATTATCTCCGCGAGACATTTCTCTTAATTTGGAGAGGCAAGAAACGAAGCCCGAAGCAAACCATTGTAAAGCTTCATTCCCAGCCGTGCAGAGATATAGGTATGAGAGCTTAGCCAGTGTCAGATAAGGACAGATGCTCGGATGCTGGTATAGCGAGGAACGTGAAAACTTGGAATAGGATTGACAGGACATTTGGACAATACAGGACAATTAAAATTAACAAACAAAGCGATATCGATTTCTTTTCCTTATAAAACACATTTTGTTTCATTTATATTTATCGATATACAGAACATAGTTTGTTTCTAATATAAGCATTGAATACACTGTTTGCATTATCTGATATAAAGACTTTATTTTGGCATCAAATTAAATTTCACTTATATTGTAATGTAAAATCCCTCCACTAATAATAAACAATGTCACATTGTTATGGTTGAACGCCTAGAACTGGATCTAGGACAATATGGTTGCACTTGGTACTACGATTGTTTTCTAAAATTTCTACAAGAAATTATCGCTTTGATTACTACTTGTCCTATTTCTCATAGCAAGTCATTAACGGCAACCGTTATGTTATATTTCCAGACTTTTCATTTAAGACCTTATGTTAGATATATTGCTAGAAATAAAATTGAAAAAAAACCTATAAAAAACCAACATTAAAAACTTATTGTCTGGACTACAACATTGCGACAGGTGCGATGAGAAATGGATTTAGGTGAAACACATTAACGTGAGGGAGCCCATCAGGCGACACAAACCCCCGTCTTACACGTGACCTGTTTAATGACTTTTTGCTTAAACATACAACAAGAAAGCGATAAATTCAACAAACAATATTGACTTTCTCCATCTGTGGAATAATCTTAACGTAAACATTCGTTTGTAACTTTTTTATGTATTGAAATACTGTCGTAGAGTAGATTGGTTTGGTGGTATTATTACTAATACATAAACCTTTATATGAGGAATCTATTTGAATCAATCCCGTAATGCTGAAGAATTATTTTGAACTTGTAATCGAAACATTATTTGAATTGTTTTAAACAATAAACGTGAAATATTAGACAGCTAACAATTACCAAGATGTTGATGTTTCAACAAATATTATGCTCATTAGTTTTGTTGCCACTCTCTTGTTTTGTTTACACTCTGTTTACACTCTGTTTACACTCTGTAAATAAGAATACATGTACCTGCATGTACAGTGTCAAACTTTGGGTACCGTCACGTTATAGGTTGAAAGTGCAGTTAAATGTGTCATAAACACTACAAAAAATGAGATTAATCTGTGGAAGAATTAGAAATGATGGGAATTCCTTGCTATTCTTTCGTCTTTCTTTGAACAAAAACATGCAGCTTTAAATATGGACTTAACATGTAAGCTTCATAAACAATATAATAATCAATATAAACATGAACAAAAAAGTTTATAAATTTGACCATACTTTATCATGGTAATAAGTTTCTTTTCTTATAAATATTTTGATTATACATTTCGTATTTAATCAATAATTTAAACAATCCGGCTTATATGTAAAACATTAAATACAAGTGATGAATAACATTTATTATGTGTCCAGAAGAAAGAGGAAACAACATATGATGATAAGGAAAAACAAAAAAACAGTTTATGTGCAAGAATGAAACAAAATTTCTGAAAATAAGAAATAAAGTAAAACTGATTGACGTCATTTTTCTGTAACTACATCTTTCAACACGTGAAATAAAGAAAACTGAAAAGAGGAAATTCATGCATAAAACTTTAATGTGCATATAGAACATTCCATATAGAACATTCCATTTCGATGCTAATCTACAGATGAGATGAGGAAAGGATGTGATGTTTTGTGGTGTTGATAATGCATGTGGGAAGGTAAAGACGTTTCTTCACAAAATAGGAAAAACTAGGAGTACGTCTTGTCCAGGTTTGTTTTAAATGTTAGAGGCGCACCTGTTACCAAAGTCTTATTTTAGCATCTTTGTAGTTCAAAAGTTCAGCTTCTTTCAAGCTTTATATTGGTTGAAATTTGTCTTTTGTCATTAAGATGATTTTTTTCCCGGAACGTTTTAATACATTAACAGACGATGGCATCCGGAATAATATTACAACTATTCCAATTTAGCATTAAAATTTACTTTGTCGAGTATATTGCGTTTCACATTTCGCGAATATTCAACGATTTTTTCTTTCAACTACTTTTATATTCATCTTATTTTTCCAATTCACACAAGTCTTTGGCAACATATTTTAATTGGATAAGGGTTGCGTCGTTATTACTAGAAACTTTCGAAAGATTGAAATAAAACTAATTGATTGAAATAAAACTATTATTAGAATATGTGCAATAATTCAAACGCTCATGTTGATGATTTGATATCTACACAAAGCATATAGATAACTAAGGATATTTTTTGCGTTCGTATTTTATCATTAATTAAAAAAAATCAATCGAAAGTTTCACTTGGATATGTTTGTTAATTGCTGGTTAGCAATGCATGCGTACATACACAAGGGATGCTGCAACAAAGCGGTCTCTGAATCCACTGTTGAAGGTAACATTGATTTTCCCATTAAACATTTCTTAATTTAGTTTATTGTAATAACATTTAAGGCATATGCAGAGAAGCGTCAAAACAAGTATTTTTGTATCCTGAAGAAATGTCAAGTAGTTGTGGTACGTTCGGGCCTTTTCCTTTTTATTTTTTCTTCATTGTCTGTCTCTGAATTACGTCTGAGATAGTATTAATATTAATCCCACGTTTTAAAAAGCGTTGCTGTTTTGGTTCTAAGAAGTCAGTAAATATTAATTATACTCTCTTCAATAGTGGAATTCTATTTTGTTTTTTAAAATATCAGGTTAGTAATTAACAAACATATCTACTTATATGTGTATAGTATAGTAGTACATTAGATACTAGTGCTAATTTGATAATAACCACTCCTGTTTAATGGCAAGTTAGAGCCGGTCTAGATACATATTTGTAGCGCGAAATATCTTAGTCAATCCATGCACTGCATTCGTCCCGGTGAGGCAGGCATGTGGTTCCGCCACTTACGAGGGGTTTCTCTGCTCCATATCCACGTACAAATTCATAATTTTACTCTTTACGTCCTCGGTTTCGGGTTTCAAATCTGGCTCTAGGTACCTGTCCATTAGCTGGCGATGTTTGTCCATCCTGCATTGGACATCTTTCATTTGTTTTCTCACGGCTTCATACGTTTTCGGCATTTGGATGACGTCCTCCGGGTCCACGCGTGAATCAATACGATACTGGAATCACAGCAACAGCAACTTGCTAGTCACAGATTTTAATCCTCAAATATTTCAACGTTTACCCAGATTATAACAAAACTCATTAGAGTAATACATTGTTACAAGAGACGTTACTTTCCTGTCATGCTGAGATGTAAACGTGGTCAGTTGTTAAGGTCTAGTTAGGAATCGAGTATTAAGGTAGACAGGGATTATACATTCAACTTTAAGACAGGAAATATATTTTCGGTTATACATGATTAATTCTTTAGTTTTATTTCTAGGTATTTGTTTTAATTGTCAGGAAATATTCAAAATGTCAAAATCATATTCTTCAACGATATTTGTAACGAATTATACACATTTTATATTATTGGTATTACGCTAAAAATATTTTGTAATAGACAACAAATATAACACCATATATTTTTAACAAACATGTGCAATTCTTTCCTTTGGTAATGAACACAATTTATACTCTAAATATTCTTCTCGTCAAAATTATAAGAAATAATGAGGTAAACAATCGCGCAAAACCGTACATGTTATAAACCATCAATTTAGTTTTAACTGACGTTCTTTTTTGTCGGTTCTAGAAAAAAGAGTATTGCTGTTACCGATAATTTTGTACGGACACGAAAAAGAATTTTCGACAATTACACCAGAAAGAAGTGCATTGGACAAAAATACAATCACATTAAATCACCAAAAAATAGGCGTTCTCTAGCAGAGCAGAATTAAAGCATGACGAGATTTTGCAAATGTTCATTTTTTGTCAAACTGGAAAAAGTATATTAAAATAAACACACAACAATAAAATAATTCGTTTGTTTACCCATGAACGGATTATAAAGAGTATATATATATATTTTGAATGATTGACAGGGATTCCAACCCATTTCCATTTGCATCTCTCTTCAAACACTAAAGCAACATTGCAGAACATTTGTTATAAAAGCAAGAGACGAATGTTCAAATTCGATTATAAATAAGAATGTTGATAGAATGCAAAAAAAAATCATTGTGGCAAAAAAGTATTACAAATTACAATGTGGTGTCAATTTATCTAATTGCACCTTTCTTATAAAAAAATGGTTTTAAATAGCAAAAATAATTCAGCCAATTGCATGCGTACATGTAAACAAAGGCCGTTTTGTCTTTTAATCTTAACTATGTCATATCGTTTGATAAAGCAGAAATAAGAAAACATTACAAAGCGTACAGAAATATTTGCATAAATTTGTTTTGATCTTGATAGAACACATGCAGATTTACTGAAGTCAAACAGATGTATCACAACAGAATTCTGTTGTCGGACAGCGGCAACACTGAAAGCAAAACACCACAAGTGAAACATCTTGAATATAGAACGTGAACGTTCATTGACACATACAGGCATTTTCACAGGTAAGCTGAAGCATATTTACTGCAACATGTTTCAAATACAACGGTACAATTAACAAAGTCACGAAACACGTTATTTACAAACCTGCCAAGACAAAATATTTTTGGGTTGAGTATACCCATCAACTGCTCGTATAGCTTTCCCTCCTCTTGTAGACGTTGTTGACTGAAATAATGTGATTGGAATCAAAACTAAGGTACAGACTAAAGCCAATGACGTCATACCATGTAACGTCATTGGGGCCTTAATTACAAAAACGTCCACCTGCTTCCCACAACGGTTTGTGCGTGTGTGTGTGTATAGATGAAAGATGATAAAGTGTATGACGATGAAGGAATAAGAATTGAAAATCGAAGGATTTGCATGAACGTCAATAAGAAAATGAATAAAGGCGTTCTCTAAAAAAAATATCATGTATCATCTTTCTTTTCAATAATATTCCATCATGATGAATACGTTTAAATGGAAACTATACATAATACGTGTATTCAGATAATGCATCATTCATTTCAGTCATGTAATTATGTAAACAGATAGATGAGAAAACTTGCCATGCAATTGATGTTTACCTTCATTTCATTAATTTAGAATAGTATACAGCTTAGCAACGCTTGGGAAGACAACGAATGATATGCGCAGCTGCTCAACAAACAAATTGCATGCTTATTCCATAATCTCATCTGTAACAAGTGCTTTCGTATCAAACTTTGGATATCGCGCGAAACAGAAATAGGACTTATGGTACAAAACCCGAAGTCATATAAGCAACAAATAACGCTAGCTTTGGAAATAGCTACACTTTGACAATATGCCAGTTTAAAAACTGTCTGAGCATCATAACAGACCATATGTAATAAAGCACCAATAGCTAGCTTCGTGCAAACCGTTGCAAAATGTGCTTATCAATGACCAAAAGTTTTGTAAGATTTGATGATGGCACTGAAAACAAAACAGAATGATTGTTAATAGATGGTGGTTTAGTAGAAGGAAGAAAAGGGCGTCTCCTGAAGGCGGCGGTAGTTATACTCACAACTGGCTTGGATGTGGACTTCACTGAAACCGTGACATCCTCGGGGACAGTCTGTAAATGTTAATAGGATCAAACTTTGATAGAAGCAGCAACTCTAGTAAAAACTAAAGTGAAAACCAACATTGAAAAAGAATACATAAAAAGGAAATGACGTGCATAAAAAACAGCCCTCGTCTGGTCTTCTCCATTAGGGTAGTGGTATAATATATATGTCTTCTACAACATCTATAACTGCTCTCTTAATCATTCCTGTACACACATATACAACCAACAGAAATGTCAACACTATCTACGGTTTTAAATGCATGTTAACAATTAAAAAGGTTCTAGGGCTGAAATACACGTGATCTGTTCGAGAAATACACCTCCAAACTGATATCTTGTTGAAAGACAATAATCGATTATCTAGTTAGAAAGAAATCTTTAGCTGGCCTATCAAAGTCGGGTCTACCAATAAATACCTGATCCCTCTCTTCCTTCCTAATTCTGCGTATAACCTTGGCAGCATATTCCGACTTGGGTTTACGGCTTTTTGGTGTAACAACGTCGACCCTGCTTCCCACTAGAGCGGCCTGTTTTGGAACAAGGTAAGATGAGTGGTGGACAATACGTATTGGGCTTAAGACGAATTTCGTAGTCTCATCCATAACAGCTTATTTTGTTTTATTGAATTGATTTCTAAATATCGGTAAGATTTAAACGTTTGCAGTTAATTTAAAAAAAAAGGATTGCGAAATATTTGAAAAATAAAATTACATTACATCAAATTATATTTTTAAAATAAAAATAGGTATCAAAATAATTTTCAAGTTTATTAACATTAAAAAATTATATATCAATATAAAGTGAGCGATTACTGCATGTCACTGAAATACACTATTGACACATTTATGGCTTTATAAATAATATTATTTATATTTTTTCTACACACTTTTTACTTATTTTTTATCGGAATTAGGACATATTAAGGCAATACTTAAACCTTAAAATACGTCTAAATGCTGTTTCTAGACACCTTAAAAGCTTTTAACATAATGGTTATGGTTCTACTGTCAAAGAAGTTATCATTGTTTCCTAAACAAATACCAACAGTGACCAAAAAGTTCTAAAGGTGATAAAACAGTGTTAGAGTTTGGTAACTGTATGTTGTTGACCCATTACCGTTCATACAATTTACAAAGGTCATTAAGTACGTTATAACAGAAATAAAATTGTCAAAAAGGAACAAAAGCATCCGTTTTTAGCGAGTATCAATTTCTTTTCATGTGTGAATTTTTATCAAAGATGCATGTTTAAGATATAAAAAGCACGATGCTGGGCATGGTAAGACGAATTATATTCCTGAGATTGAAAGTGAAAGGGATAAGTATATATATAAACGCCAAACTTCGCTAAAGAAAGATACTTTCTCTTACTGTTCCATGATGTTATTCTCATGTTATATGGTAACCACTGAAAAAAAAAAACTAGATTTATTATCACTTTAGCAAGATTATGTTTGTAAAATTCGCTTATTCTTCCAAAGGACGACAAACTGAGGGAATTTATCAAATAAAGTTGGAGTTATCAAGGATTTGTTGTGCTAACTAACATGTGATCGTCATTGTGTTATAAAGTTTATATATTTTTTTCCAAATGTGTTGGTATATATTTGTTTATTATATAAACATTTGATTTCGCGTAGTGTTTTAGCTTTTAGATGGCAAATGAAATTTCCGTAGTATTATATTTGCAGTTTCCAGACTATAAAATTGTTAAATACAAATTGAATTAAATATGAGGAAAATGAGACTGCTGCAAAATCAGTCTTGTAAACCATATGTGAAAGTGTATTATGTGTGCAGTATCACTCGCTTTACAAATCATCTGTTGCATCTAGCATATATTCATCTGTATAAGATAAAAAGTCAATATATATTTAAATATCAAATTATCTATGTCATACGATAATCTCAATTGTACATTTATATCAATGATATAATAATTCAAATTGCTGCTATTGGAGAGAGACACACGAAAGCATCACATAGCCATGCTGGCGACATCGACACATGCAATACCAACCACCACATGACGTCACTGCGTGTGGAATATGTCATTCTGGTATCCCATCATGCTTCACACTTCCACATGTTTACGCATGCTAAACTGACTGACTGAAAGCGATATTCACTTTGTCTGAAAATGGAAACACCCATTGGTTAGTACAAAAATGCATAGCAACGAAGCACTAGCGCGCGCTGTTCTTCCCATGAGAATAAACAACATACATAGTCAAAAGGAAAGCGAAAAAGTTCGATCATGATGTAGACGAAACAATATAATATGTACACTGCTGCTGTGAATAGAAATGTTACAATGAAAACATGTTTTGATGGTGAGACGTGAGGACAAGCATGACAGCCATGGCTGAGTGGGTTTGCAACGTATCAGACTGATTAGCTTGCTTGCGACAAACTGATGGAGATTTTGCAAGGAATCCGTTCCAAGATTATGTTGTATTATAAAACGATTCACTTCAAAACGATATTTAAGAAAATTCATGAGGATTGAGGTTTTTTTCATTGGTGCAATTTGAAAACAATTGAAATAAAATAAGATATATAAACAACACAGACGAAAAATACCCCGATCTTCTCTTGAATAACCTTAAATACTTTGCAAGCACAAAAATGCTTATGTGATAATGTCATTTTCACCTTTCCGACGTATTTTCGTTTGTACACAAGAGGTATGGCCAGAAACCGTGCAGTCTTCCGATGGAAAGCTGGGTAATCATAATCGTACAACCTGTAGCGTGCCGGATACACGAATCTTGAAGGGAACACCGAAAAATAATTAGAATACATCTCGATTGCCGAGGAAACTTTCGGACCACAGACGGTTTTGATCACACGTGGCGACCTGATCGGGTAATAGCTGTGGTTTAGCTGGTTCGCGGCGGTGTAGTAACGCCACCAGGGATTGTAGTGTGGGATAGTCGGAATACTACTGGGATACCAGTCAGCCATGGCCGCCCTCTTGGTATAGACTCTGTAGAATGAGTCCGTGGCGGAAGCAGGTCGAGGACGTGACAAGGAAGATACTACTACTACCTCTTTCCTCGGTCGTCGGACATAGGAGTATGAGGGAGTAGAGATGGTGGTGGTCTTAGGTGGTGGTAGGTAGGACTTGGGAGCGGCCGTTGGGTGGTGGTACGTGAAGTGGCTATGGGATCGTGCACGCCTGGCCGCCACTGCAGCTTTTGGACTGGCATGGGTCTCAGTGTTCACCTGTCGGCGAGGAGTCAAATGTGAGAATAAGGAAGAATAAACAGATTAGTTTTGGCTGAAATATAAAAGATCAAGTAATATTTTAAAAAATAATACTGAAAAGGAAACAAGTTGTATGACTACTGACTTCTGTTTTGTGAGGGTAGATGAATGATGTATGAGGCAAAACGTGTTCGCGGAAGAGGACTTTCTGAGCCTACCTTTTATGAAACGGACTATTTTATTTTATTTTTGTAGTGACCATTGTTTATTCTCATGGGCAAGAGAGTTATTTCAGCTCCCCAAAAGGAATACACTTGTATTCAAGCAACCCACCGTCGACGTTAGATAAGCAGAAAGCGCTGCTGGCTGGGACGATATCAACCACTTCATTTCACGAGAACACACCAATCACTGACGATACTAGATACAATCGGAAAGCACACTCGTTCTAGACTATGTACATTTCCAACAAGCACACGACCAGGGTCTTCAGTAACTTCAAAGTAGTCTCAAATGCAAGACACACCTGAACCAGTGACCAAATTGGGACGAAAACAGTTAGGAATGTTAAACACTGAAACTGACTGAATTTTGATATATATTTTCCGATATATTTTTAAAATGTTATTATCGTCATGATATCAACTCTTAGCTCAACACTACCTCTATGCATAATTTCTTATTCTGGAATGACCATCACGCAAAAATCGCGTTTGCTTTTGTTTTATTGAAACTTTATCATGAATTTCATACCGTGCGATAATGCCACGATTTTCTCATGGATGACATGAAGGTAGAAATAGAAACTTGGCACTGACATCATGACGTATTTTTTACATCGAAGTTACCCCCGTCCTGATTAGCACATCGACAACATGGCATAGTTACGTGTGTATATATGATTTAGTAGGGCTTAAACGGGAAGTTACATACTTTAAATATTATAAACGTGCGATTTAATTATTAATAGAGGATATATAAATAAATATATGTATATATATAAACTTTCCACAGTTGCTACGACCTTGCAAGACACTATAAGGTATGAGTCCAAGTCAGGTTCAGGACGTGCAGGGGTGGGAGAATGGATTTCTAAGGTAAAAAAAACAACAGGAAGGAAGAAATGTGAGGATCATCTCGGAAGTGGAGGTAGCCTCAAACGCTTTACCTTAATCTTAATTTTTTCAAGAGTTGTAAGCTGCTGTTCTGCGTCAGGATCGTACGTTTCCAACGCTTCGATTTGGTCAAGGGAAGCATCGGACGATGTCAAAGCTCTATGTCTGCTTCCTAGCAGTGGAAACATGTTTAGTCTCTCTCGTCCATAGGAGTAGTCTCCAATTCGTTTTCTATGACTGAGTAGTGGGAGTGGGGAAGAGTAACCATAACTGTATGTGTCTTCATCATCCTCGTAATCTATTGCTAAGGGCAATCTCCTTCGATACCGGGGCAATCTTACCGCCTCGGAGAGGGCACTATAACCACTTGAAAGTCTGTCTTTAATACCCTGTCGAAAGTTTGATAAATCATTTATGTAGCTCCTAAAATCATGATCTGATGAGTGAATTGCGTAACTAGCTGGACCCGCTAGCATTGGACCCTTCAACATAAGAGGACGAGCTACATATTCGAACCCCATAGCTTTTCCCCTGACAGGGTCGTTCACCTCCCCCTCTACGCTAAACACTAGAGCAGCCGAGTCATACTCATCTAGGTTAATATTCTTTAGAACCTGTCGCGCCTTGGCGGCTGTTTGAGAAATAATATCATGAAACATGACATCCTTTGCTACTGAAGAGCCCTGCCGCACCGAACTGCTGCCCTGAACCAACGCGGACTTATTGATATTCAAAGCGGATCGGTAAGGCGACATAGAAAAGAGGGGAATATCCGCGACACTTGTGTAGCGAGGAGGAGTCTCCGACTTTTCATCGTCATCATATATCCTCCGTTTACGGGGCTGATAAGCCATATATTCAACTGGGCTTGGCGAGCGTTCGCGCGGGGGCACATAGTAGCTACTGATATGACTCGTGGTTGATTGTCCGTCATCGTTGACGTCATCACCGACGTCATACGTGTCATCGCACCTTATTGGATAATTCAAATATTTGTCTCTGTCATCTTCGTCATCGAATGTGTCCTCGACATCACTGAAATCGTCATAATCGTACGACGGATAATTCCTTTCTGACTGTATATTTACCAGTCTATTGTACGAACCTCCCATGCGCCCGGGCGCAGCCCTTCTGTATCTTCGACCTTGTCCTAACTCCCTGTCAGGGGATTCTCTGGGGCTCTGATAGGGGGAAGTGGTAGGGGAGCGAATAGGGGATTCTCTGGCAAGGCGGCGCCTCAGTTCATATCTATCAGGATTTCGTAAATCTCTAAATATTGAACTAGACACCCAATCTGATTGGGAACGTGTTCCAGATGGTTTCATTGTTAGAAAACTCCTGTTTGAGTCCGAATCTTGTCTCCCAGTCTGAAAACGCCTATGAGGAACATAAGCAGACGATACTTTCCGACCAGCGCTGGAGTTGTGGGCAGCAGGCGTGGATTTCGACGGGGGCTGCGTGAACATGTGAGGATTGTATAAGTGATTGTGCTGCCTCATGTTAATGCCAAACATCTTCACGGGGGTATATTTTATATATTTTAGAAATAATTTTCTCCAAAATAAGATATAAATATATCTGCTTTGTAAAAAGATATGTTGTGTGTTTACAAACAAAATTTATTCACTTCTTATAAGAAATAGTTCTAAAACAAAAACAGATTGAAAATGAAATTATTTAGATATGTCAATGAGTTCCTAAGTCAGTATTTTACAAATAGCCACAGTTCCTCAAGTGTCAAATGCTACAAGACAGTTTAATTTACTTGAGGAAATAGAATTTTCGTGTCATTATACTTTATAACATATCTTGAATCTTTAGTTTCAATATATATAGTATGCTTTACTTATAAGTTGTACCATTTGATCTTGAGGTAACTGACCATCGACTTTCAGAATTAAAGCAAGATGAATTACAGCATAACATTTACAACTAAACTCATCAAAAGCATTAAGATGGGCATACTTTTTTGATCGAGTTTATATACTTATTACATTGTTGATTTTAAATTATAAGCATGTTTTCGTATAGTTTTATTAACTCAAGAAATACATATTGAAAAAAGGTGGAAAGCGGGTGATGAATGCGTGAGGTTATTTCGGCAATTTCCTTATGGGAAGGGTTTATTTTGTTTAGAATTAGCATTAAGGTTGAGCCTCATCGAGTTCACATACTTAACAATAATAGTCGGAGGGTATTTTTATCAATTCGACATAAGTTGTAGAACGTCACTTAAAATTTGGTCAGAAGGGTGAAAGAGAGAGATAGAAACAAAACACATGCAGTTAATTTTCATCAACCAAAAATGTCATTTTACCTCATTTATCCAAATAGTTCTGCTTGTACACGCATGTGCTAGAAATCAAACTACAAATGATACACACTGGCGTAATACGAAGCTGTCGAAAGTCCAGATTAACCCATACTTGCTTTAAAGTACTAGTATAATGATACAATAAATCAATCTCGAAAAAAACACCAGATGATAATGTATCACAAAATGTCAAGCACATGTATACATTAATTGTATGTATTTTCTACTAAGCAAAACATAAAATGCAGCAAATGAAACATAATTGAAATATTATTGACACTAATTAAGCATTATTTTCAAAGTAAATATTAACTTAATGATAGTAATGATTTCTATGAAAGGACAATGATATCATAGATGTGTCAAGTCGAATAGATGAAAAAGACGTATAAGAAAGATTCGTGATGAAAGCATAGTTACAATTTATAAGAGGATGATAAGTAAACATTTCTAGCGAAAAAAAAGAAGGGGTTATTCTATATGAATAGGGGAAAACACTCGCTGTTTAATGCTGCAACCAAAAGTCTAGTGTTATTGTGTGAGTGAATTACAATAGGAATGCGTCGACTTGGTGGTACAACGTAATGCTAGCACTATAATATAATATTCTGAGAGTCCAGATAGAACGACAAGGACATGTGTGGATTCGCAGAGACAAAGCTTGCCAGTGATCAGTTAGAATGATTTATGGCAGAGTTCAATTTATTCATGGATGTACTGCAACGAACATACATAGGAATGGAATATCCCTGGAAATGTTCACGTCTGCTAATGATATCCAATGCAATAGGTCTCAGACAATGAATATAGGTTATTATGAAATTGAGACGAATATAGTCCATGTATATTTGCATGAAGAATGATAAGTAATAATAAAATAATGGAACAGAAATAGTGTGACAAATACATACTCTACACTGAGTTAGTGCGTCTACTGTTAGCGATTATAAATGAAAGTCGATGGTTTGTATTAAACATTCAATAGAGGACCCTGGTGCGAAAACAATGGATTTTAATGATTATTAAAATATGTCAATGAATAATGAAGTTGATGATAGTAATGCCAAATAATTTGATTTTTATCGTTCTGTGCGAGTATTACCAAGGCCCATGTTACTGATAGTGATACATGTTACTACAGTCTACATAGAAATCAAACGAAAGATTATAGATAACAGCACTACTTAAAAATAAATTCATCACACTGTAAACAAAACAAAAAAACATTTTGTTATAAATGCAATATGTGACAGATGTGTTCCGATTATTTCTCCGAATTCACACTGGTAGTGAACTAGTATCCGGGGACTTTATATTTAATACGCCATATAAAGTGAATATGGTCCGAACAGCACAAAGTAATAAACAACCAATGATCTTACATATGATGATAGAAAGTAAATGACGAAACTTTAACCATCATATTTGCAAGTATGCCTGGTTTATGTTAAATTCTGACAGCTAAACGTGACCTCACTTTTTTACTCAATGGCATTGTATGACATGTATGGAATAATGATAAGATGTATATACACCATGATCCGTGCCTACTTAGTACCTGTTTTGATCAGAATAAAAATTATAGATATTATGACAGTCCGCCTGTATTTACTCACGATTGCGTTAGTGGCCTCTCTGAGAATTTCTTGGTCTCTATTTCTGGATTTGGCCGCTACGTCGAATGCATCATCTGCAGCGTGTGACGAAAAGAGAAGCTCGCGGTTGACGTTTCTCCGTATCTCGTTCTCCGTCCCTGTAGTGTCTACATGAAATAAAGTCAATGTGTTACATTGTATACAATGGAGCTAAATCAGTGTATCTTACAATAGATTATCTTAATCAAATTAGTGTATAATCCATTTTACATCTACCTGCAAAAATGTCACACAATGGATTGTCTGAAATCAAGTACTTCACAGTTGGTTATTCAAATCAAATAAGGGCATCATACACTAGATTATTTATATCAAACTAATGTTTCATACGATAGATTATGTTAATCAGGTAAATGTTTCACGCTATGGATTATCTATCAAACAGATATGTTACAAAACGGATTATCTTAAGGAAACATATGTATGTCAAAATGGATATCTCAATCCAACAAAGTGTCGCACAATGGATGACTTATCTCAAATAATTACATCACACAATGAATTATCTTAATCGAACAAAAATATCCCTCAATGAAATATCTTATTTGAACAAAAATATCCCTCAATGAAATATCTTAATCGAACAAAAATATCCCTCAATGAAATATCTTAATCGAACAAAAATATCCCTCAATGAAATATCATAATCGAACAAAAATATCACAAGATGAATTATCTTAATCGAACAAAAATATCCCTCAATGAAATATCTTAATCGAACAAAAATATCCCTCAATGAAATATCTTAATCGAACAAAAATATCACACAATGAATTATCTTAATCGGGAAAAAAATATCACACAATTAATTATTTTAATCGAAAAAAATATCACACAATGAATTATCTTAATCGAAAAAAAATATCACACAATGCATCATCTTAATCATACAAGTGTATGTCAAAATTGCTATATAAATAAAACTAATACCGAGTATCTATACATTAAACAGGTGTGTCTCAAAATCATTGTCATTGAAATATGAGTATGAAAAATATCCAGCTTGAGAAATTAAGAATAATTCAAATGTAAAAAAATCCCAATCGAAATAATCATGAAATAACAAGTTCAACAATAACAAAATATAGAACTCCAATTAAAGAATAAAAGAAGCAAAAATGTTTCCAAATAAGCAAACACATGAGCGCACTTCATGATTAGAAAATGAACTCAAAATCAGTATGATGGACCCCCACAATCATTAATGCGAAACCGCCTGCACTGAAAGGGCAATAATTCTTCGAACTGTAAGTGACACGGAATAATTTATTTTAGATTACTTACCATAATATGATGTATTCCTGGGACGGTAGACGTCTGATAGGTAGAGGTCATCTACAGGTGACATGGCCCTCCCTCCATACCCCCATTTATTTCTCAACACTGAGTGACCCTTGGTGCTCTGCAGAAAAAGAAAAAAAATGAAAATCAGTAACATTCCACTGGAGTCCGAGCATTATGGTTTGTTTGAACGAACTCTTAATTATGTGGACACTGTATAAGGGTATCAGCACATCAGTACGTTATCTTCAATACCCTTTTTATTCCGATGTTGGAATGAGGGGTGTCTGAGGACAGACGAACGTCCTACATTTACCTCGCAAATAACAATATAAACTCCAGAAGAAACATATTTGTGTCTTGTCTTTTTATATTGTTGTTCCTTTTGACGCCATAACAAAACATTAAGATCCCAGGAAAATCAAACTAAATAAAAGACAGTAATCCCCTTTCAAATCATATGAAATCAAGCATATTGTAGTTGAATCGAGGCTGCATTGCTATTAAAATAAATAATAGACAGACAACACTACATATATATTAGGAAGCATTCGGTTTAGCTCTTCCGTAATTATCCTGCACTTAGTAACCGGATAAGAGAACAGACATATTGGTTGGTAGAAAGGGAATCAACTCACTGCACAGACGGATAAAAACATTGATGGGCTAATCCAAACCGTGTATCTGTACGGTTGAAGACAAAGGGTTAAACTTGTAAACAGTGCATAAAACACAGAGAGAATCTCAAACAATGCCTATTGTGTTCTCAACAACAAGCAGATGTATAGCCTTATATTTCCAGCAGACAAAAAGATAGCATACATCACTGACGTTACAGAGCGGTTTTTGTTTTAGTACGCATTCGGTTCTTCACGGTAAAACAGATAAAAGCAACCGTAGAAATCATCAGAATTTCTCATACAGCGTATTTCGTGAAAAGACTAAGGTAGACGCTTAACTATTAGCCACAAAGAAAACTTGTTATGTATTTATTGACTTGTTTTGTTTTATAATACATATTACATATATTCTCTAGAAAGAAAACAACACTGTGAAGCGTTTGTAAAGAAGTATGAGACATGTCTAAACAATTCCCATTGTTTTATTATAGAACACGAAAAACTGCCTTTACCAAATGAAATTACAGTATACCTCCCAGACATGTAAACAGGATGATCCTGTACACATGCTGAGCCTGCTTGTCTAGTGTTCTCATGATTTTTCGTAAGTGGTAAAACATGATTATTTTTAAAGAACAATGCATAATATTGTTTACGATTAAAGAATGTTTCTTGAACTGCGCTATTGAAAAGGGGGATATAACAATACTTGGTGTTGGCTGATATTTTTTTGCACTTTGATATTTTTATCCGTTTCCATTTAAACTTCGAGATAATAGTGTTACCGTGTACGGTATACGTTTATTGTAGTGCAAAACCATCAATACACATACTGAGGCAATACGCCCTTTACTCAATACTCATATAATAGGACGATATAATAGCAGACTGGTAGGTACACCGACGACATTAGTTAGGACAGAGAAATATCACGGCATATGTAGCGTGCTTTTAAGTTACAATGTATATAGAAAAAAATAGCTATTGGACGTGAATCAGGATTCTACTGGGGCTAGGGTTTCCCAAGAAGGAAATGTACTAATGTCTACAATCCTCACTGTCAATACGTATAAATTCGATCGTTGCATATTTGTATGAAAACCAACCTAATTAAAATGATATCTTCACATCGCTTCTGCTTACTGACATGGCGCTCGTTCACGCGACATTACAGCAAAACGGGGGCGACATATCCAAGATATAATTTTCATTAGATTGTATAAAAAAGGAAACAGCTTTAAACATGTACAATGTACAAAATACTGGATAAAGTCTCAAATTTAACTTTTGCATCTAGAAATAGCTTTTACGCATTTAGAATTGTTGTAGTGCTGCTAACCATGGAATTGAACGAATTTCTGCGTCTTCTCCTGACAATATTTGTGAACAAATATGCAGTGAATATGTGCACATGTTTCAGACTTTTCTAGTGGTTCGTCCTAATTTTATCTATCGTCTGTATATCGGTCTTTTTATACATTTTGTATTTTATTCCCTTCTGTTCAAGTGTATTGCAGTCGTTAGCCTCACATATGTCCTTACGTAACACACTTATGATAGTAATGCAAACACACACACAAAGTTTATATTCATTGTCTGTTTGCGCCAAACATAAGTAATTTGCAATAGAGAAGAAACCTAACACATCCAAGCATAAGGGCAATACATGTACACTTGAGAACCTATTTATAGCAGTAATGAGGAACTCACCACCTCGGTTATAACGATGACGTCACGAAGTCGTGATTCTCAGGTTAATTCCGTTACCTTAAAATAGTGTTTATGATTTCCTTAATTGCTGTATCTATGCATGTGTATTGATGTAGAATATTTGTAATCCAGTGACGTGAATCTCATCTTAGTTTTTAAGAACAGCAAGCATTTTTTCATAATTGATATGAAGGTGAGTGTGATGTGCTGTTTTGACGCATTGAATTCAGGTATGTAAATAACGTGCCATTTCTGATGACTTAGAAGTCGTATAGAATATCATATTTTACTGCACCATGACGTCTTATAGGTACCTCACAGTTGTGTTTAAAAAAACCGGGTATGATAACAGTTCACTATTCTACCATTGCTGAAACAAACCCTCCCATCCCCGAACAACAAAAGACTGACTCATAACAAACACCAGCACAATTCATTATAGAAACGTGGGGGCGACGGTGCTAAAATTGAGTTAGACAAGAACCTGTTCTGATGGTATCTTCTGTCCAACAACATGTCTAGAGTTTTCGGTGTTTCGGCGAAAACACTTCACATGGACGGCAGGAGATGCTTGGCAGATGTAGAGAGAGAGCACGGAGGTACTGTCTCACACTCATCCAGTCTTTATATAGAACATGTAATGTTAGCCTTCATCTTCCCAAAGCTTCCTTACGATCAGTGGCATATCGTGCACCGTGACGTCACAGTGTACACTCTCGCTTCTGTTCAGTTCGAGGCCATGAAAGGGATCGTCTCAGTTCAACAAAAATATTCGACTTACAAAGTTATTTTTAGATGTATTTTCACCTTTTTTAATTCATGGTATATATCATCACTATCAAACAAACTGTTAAGTATGTTTTGTGTCTTTAACACATTCAGTAACCCCTTAGGGTACCTCACTATCTATAACATTGAGATGATTATCTACTGAAGAATGTTCGTACGTTTACTCTTCCCGAACAAAATCAAGTATCTCGATCAACGGTTTACCTAAACGATGATGATTACCACACCAGTATCTCGACTTGGCACCCGGAAGTGCAATGCGATGTGAAATACGACACCGGTATGTAATATCGGCTGTGCATTTACATACATTCCTGATCTCTGAGTACACAAACCACATGTGCATTTATGATGGCTGGCAACAGCTCATCAAAACAATGGTTTATGTTGTTCAATTAACGAAGTCGTTACCCGTCTATCGGCTTATACATAGAGGTAAACGTGCGAGCTCAGCACATCACAGTACTTCTGGTTGTAGACACAAAATGAGACACGTAAAGATGCTTCTATTAATATGATATGATATAGACTATCGCCAAATAGGTGTTGAAATGTTTTCTATTTGTACAATGGTGTGTCAGTAACCTCATTCACGTAATGATAAGGACTATGTGTTTAACATTCTATGGAATGTTTCCATCCTTATGACTACATGTTATGGTCAGTTTTATTTTTAGCCATGAGTATTGAATACAGATCTGTGGGTTTGGCATCATTAATTGTTTAATTTGCTACATATTGCTTTTGGCGTGCCGTTATTTCATGTAACTGTTTGACCGTCGCGTTCACGTGTAGTTAAAAACAAGGCGTCTTATTGCAAACAAATATCAAAATTATATGGGGGAAATTTCGACTTTATAAAATGTTTATAATCAAAGTGTTAGCTAATGACATTATCCTTCTTTTACTATGCTATCGTTCTATTGTAAGATAAGGTTAAATAAGTAGATAATTTATATCATTGATGAAGTGATATGACTCTATTCTGATATAAATACATTTGGGTATCTTTAAAATGTATTTGAACGGCGTGGGCAGGTTATTTCATTGAAATATTATGGAAACATATGGTTATATAGTAACATCATATATGATGACTTAGGAACAAAGAGTTTCATCATGTCAAAGGAATGTCTGTTATGTAAGTTGTATACAGAACTTTTTATCAATTCTCGTGAAAAGCAATCTCCTTAAACCTATTTTGATATATGCTTTATGTAGTAAATGAAACAGCAATAACATTATTGATATTAAACGCCCTGTTTATAATAAATTTGATATTGTTTACCCATTAACAACATAGTTTCTACTGACAGCACTTTCAACCAAATTTAACGGCTGCGAAAGTAATGTACGGAATTTCGTTTAAACCTGATCAGATGTTTTATGCTTGATATATATTATTCACAGAGTTCATCTTCTTGCTTAACACATCCAGACATAGACTGGGAAATGTTTACTTAACACATCCAGACATAAACTGGGGAATGTTTACTTAACACATCCAGACATAGACTGGGAAATGTTTGATTGCGATTTAGACTTCAGGAATGTATGCAGCATCCATCGGGAATGTGTAGAGAACCTAGAGACTAACATATAGGCTGGAGAGTTACAAAAATAGACGGTAACAAAATTGTATCATTTCGTTTGGTGTATACATCCAATGATTTAAACCCCTTTATCTATAAGTAAGAAAAGCATGTATTACCACAGCGTCACCATACAGAACACAACGTAAAGTAGGAGTCGATACGGAACAACAGAAGCTGTGACTGTATGGGACAAAAACGTCAGAACAGCATAGAACCCCAGAAAAAAAAACATAGACCAGACCAGGTGTTCCGGAAGGGTGAGCGTTTCCTGAACCGCGTGTGGCAACCATGGAGATGTTTCCAATTATAACCAGGAATGTACTTTTACATAGGTCACTGATTTATTTCTGAGTTGAAACCAAAAGAGTTTGAGAGAATACATTTGTCATTTTAGCGCGTCTTCACTG